AAGTTATCGTACCCTTAGATGTCACATGTCTGATGCTTGAATTATGTCTGTAGTGCAACAAATAGAATTCTTGAAATTAATTAACCTACGTAGGAATCCTAGACAAAGATGCATGAGGGAGCACTTGGGACCTGAATGCCCACACCCATCTGGCTGGAGGGGTCATCCCTAAATAGAATTTCTCATAAGACCTATCACTTGCTCTCATTGAAGGAGATTCAATATTCTTCAGATCCAAAGGTCTCCTGAATATGGAGTTCAAACCTCAACCAGACAGACTGTTGATGCCCAAGTAGCCAGCTTATGTTCTTGGTTTGTTTTTTTTTTTGTTTTGTTTTGTTTTTTTCACTGACAACATCATCACCTTATGCTTTTACTAGGATAGCAGAAAAAAAAGAGAGAAAGAAACAGAGTATATCCCCTTCTCACCATGATTTACCCACAATATAACCAACAGAATGTGCCTAGAATTTCTCTCTCTGGTTCTACAGGGATATGAGGAACCATTTCTTTTCTCATTTTTGTTAATCCTGGCTTTATAGAGATGCCCCAATAAAGGATACCTCTACATCATGTCGTGGCTTTCTGAATTATGTCCCAATGTTCCAACTCCTACTGCAAGATAGACATGACTTCCTATTGAATTACAAAGTCATCCCTTAGATACAAACATGGCCATTGTACTTCCACTGGACTGTGCAGGATAGGGGAGTGGTTTGGGAGAGAGTTACATCTTGAAATAAAACTCCCAAGAGAAGTTGCTTCTTTCCACTGAGTGAAACATTCAAATCATGATTTTCCCCCATGAGAGGGAAATTCAGTACACATGAGGCTATTCAGAAAGCAATATGTAATCATTGTTTCCAGTTGCATCTTCACAATAACACTGCATGATAGGCAGGCTCAACTCAGAGGAGTTAAGTAAATTGGTCAATGCAACAAAATTAGGATTTGAACTTGAAACTATCTGACCCTAACTTTGATCTTTCCATTTCTTGCTAATGGACACCACTTAGGGTCCAACAGTCATTACACAAATAATGATGAATGGTTCCTGAAGGTCAGGGACATTTTCTTCATGACAGCAAAATTTGTCTTTTTTCTCCATTGGAATAGGTAATGGCATAAAGTAATAAGGGCTCATTAATATATGTAAAATATGTAAAACTTTGCATGACCTCTTAGATTAGGTGCTATATCAACTCTCGTGGAAATTTCACTGATTTACAGATTTTTTTTTGTTAAGGTTTTGTTCAGAGAGGTAATGTGGCACAGCCAATATGAGTTTTCCTCTGAAGTCAAAAGATGACTTCAAGTTCTGTCTTAAACCCTATCAGTTAGATAACCTTGAACATGATTTTTTTACCTTTCTGATGCTCATTTATTTTCTGGTAATATCACTATCTTCATGGGGTTTGTATAAGTTATACCAAGGTAGACTTGTGTGTATCAAATTTTAATGTGCAGGCAAATATCTAGGGGTCTTGTTAAAATGCATATTCTGATCCAGAAGCTTTTGGGTAGAGCCTGAGAGTGTCTATTTTTTTTTAATACTTCCAGTTAATGCTGATAGTGCTGGACTTTTTGGACTACATTTTGTAGCAGAGGTAGGGTCTTTTATTGTCAGCACTAAACAGTTTAGTCCAGATAATTTATTGTTTTGGGGGACTTTTTCAGTGCATTGTAGGATGGTTCATTGTATCACTAAAATAGTTTCTTACATACATATATAGAAATCAAATTAATGCATGTTCCTTTCTTTTCACAACATTTATTGCTTTAACAAGGTTTGACTCCAGGAAGATAATATTCCCTGGATCAGGAGTTATCAAATTGCCATTCCTCAGGGGCCAAATTGACTTTACCATCTAATTTTATAAATAAACTTTTACTGGAACACATACACAGTCATTCATTTACCAATTTTCTATGACTGCTTTTGCACTAAAACAATAGAGTAGTTCAGGCAGAGACTGTACAGCCCACAACATCTAAAATATTTACTATCTAGACCTTAATAGAAAAGTTTGCCAAGTCCTATTCTTGATACATGAAAATCCTACATCTTTAGTTCCTTTAAGCTACAGAAGCAGAGTTTCATAGCAGTCCTCTGGGTATAATTCAATAGCTGCTAAGTCAAGAACATTTCCTTTGGGTTGGTCCCAAGGAGAGAGGCTGGATTCTTTCCGTTTTTGAAATGAACCATTGGTTTCCACAACTCAGCATTGTGTAACTGCTTTAGAAAGAATGGAAATAAGAACATACCCCGGGTGCAAGGGAACATTAAATATATATAAATATTCTATAAATATATACACACACATTCAAGCACTGAGAATTTACATACCTAATTATTGTAATGACACTAGTCAGTCACAGGAAAAAAAATGTACCCCTCCCATGGTTGCCAGCTTTACTTAACCTGGTATGTTTGTGCTGATGCTAGCAATTTGCATTTGTACCAGATGCTGTAGGAGGCTGATTGTTTTTAAAAAACAATACCCAAGGATTTTGAATGGAAAGCACATAGGAAGAGATTTTTCTGAATGGAGGTAAAGAATGTTTTGTTTATGAAGTAAAGTTCTGTGGAAAGTATATAGGTAAGCTGCACTTGTTGCCACTTGTAGGAGAAATTTGAACTGTGTAGCTTAAGGTACAATTTCATTCTAGTGGAACTGATCATCACAAGTTATGCCTGTTATAACTGATTCACACACTCTTAGGCTTATTTGAAACAACAACATGTTAGAATAGGCTAGTTCAGGGTGTCTCAATCAGCACTGTTTGGACCAGATCCTGTTCTTTGTTGTGGTGTCTGTACTGTGCATGATAGAATGCTTGGATGCATCCTGGCCTTTACCCATTATATGCAGATGTTAACGCTTTTCTCATTAATGACAGTCAAAACTACCTCCAGGCATTGCTAAGTAGCCCCTGGAAGTAAAAACTACTCCTGTTTGACCACTTCAGGGTTATATTATTCTACAAGAAGAAATAAATCCACAATCCGAATGGCTTAATACCCCCAAAATGTATTTCTTGCTCAAATCAGTTCTGCTGGGCAAATGTGTGGTGGCTTAATATCCTGTACTACTTTAATCTTAGAGTACATCCATGGAAAATAAAGGGAAAGTGTAGAATTTAGTATAATCAAGTAAATATTTATGCCAGGAAGTAACACAGTTCATGTCTGCTCATATTTCATTGATCAGAGTGATTCAGATGACCATGTCTATGACAAGTAAAGAATGAGGATTAAGATCTGTCCAAGAATATCTGTATACATACTGTTGACTAGACAAGAAGTATATGTTCATCTCCACATTGTTCAATGAGCTTTTGCTGTTGCTGTCAAGGGTGGAGAGGCAGGATAGTATTATAGAGTGTGAGTTCTGAAACCAAAGAACTTACCATTAATATGTCTTCTTCAGTTTCTTCAATTAATGTCTTATAGTTTTAAGTGTACAGATCTTTTGCCTACTTGATGATATAATAGCTCTCATCTTACACAAGTTACATAAGTTTACTATGCCTGAGTTTCCTCATCTATAAAATGAGGACTAAAAACATACCTTACTCAGGGAGATTGCAAGAATTAGATATGTCAGTATATGTAAAGCCTTTAGAGAAATGCCTGGAACACAATAAGCACTTTGTAAATATGTTTAAATGAAAAGAAATAATATATACTTTTAAAATAAAAAATATTGAGAGACTGAGAAAAAGTACACAAAATAGTGTGTATTTAGAGGTATTCAGCAATTTTCAAATATGACACCTACACATGTGTGCATTAGAAATATATTACATAAATTAAAGTCTAGAAAGGCATGTTTTCAATAGAAGTCAGTTGAGATGCTACCAAGTTTATAAAATAAATCAATAAACAGGGCCTCCCCCGTGGTGCAGCAGATTGAGTGCCACACTGTGAAGCTGTCCACAGCCTCTGCAGCGCTGGTTCGATTCCCCGCCGGCCAGGGAGAGTCCCACATGGCACTGCAGACATCTTCTGTCTTGCCTGCAGCTCCCCTCAGCAGTGTATTTAAGTCATCTGCCTGTTCTGCTCCCCACTCTGTCTCTGGTAAATTCTCTCACCCTCCTGCGCTTCTGGACTGTATCCCAGTTCTTCTATAAATAAATAAATAAATCTTAAAAAAATAAACATATTGAAAGTATATTTTAAAATTATATTTTAAAACATTTGAAAGTATATTTAAAAGTTCAACCTAGGCAAAAAAAGAGAGCCATTTACTTTCTGTCCATTAAAGCCCCACTACCACTATAAAATGTTGACTACAGGGTTGTCCCTAGAGGCACAGGGGTTAAAGTCTCAGAGCTATCAAGTTATCACCAGCCACTGTGACAGAAGTTTGATCCCTGTCCAGGGAGCTGACCCACAGACCTCTCCTTGCTCCCCTCAGCAGTGTATTTCAGCACATCTGCCTGTTCTGCTCCCCAGTCTGTCTCTGGTGAATCTTCTCACTCCCCCGCACCTCTGGCCTATACCCCAGTTCTTGTATGAATAAATAAATAAAAATAAATCTTTAAAAGAATGTTGATTATGGATGAAAATACCTGATCTTGCTTATTATTAGAATTTTACTAGACTCCTTTGAAAATATAAGTGTCATTTTAAATGTCCACATATTGAAAATGTCATGTAAATATTGTGTACCTTATTGTTCAGTCTGTAGTAGCATCTGTTCATTTATGAGTATTCACTATATTTATTCATGTAGTAGCATTTTTTTTCAAGAGAACATGTTAAAAATGTTCCATTACCTTTCAAAGAGAGCAATGCCCCTCAGCACCACTTACCTGTGGGGTAAGACTGTAGAGCTCACACATTGATATAAAATAATAGTTACAATACACTTTTCTCCCATGGTAGTTGTGTTTACTTTAGAAGGCATTTGAGGAACTATTTCATTATGATTGTATAAAAATAAATGTTCTTTCATATGTACTATATTTATAACCTGATTTCTTGGATTTCCCAGATTCACCTGCTGTACAACTCCCAGACCATTCAACATACCTGGACATCGGCTTCCATCTTGTTCATCACTTCATCTTTATGTCACTTCTTCAGTAGAATTCTGGTCTAGTTTTTCTGATCTTGATTTCTTTTTGTCCCTTGACTCTTTGATCCTTTTAATCACATAAAGTTTCAAGTGATACTTGCAAATTATCACCCACTTGCAAGTATCTTATTAATGGTTTCCTTGAGCTTAGAAGAGAGAATTCAGAAAGAGTAAATAATATATCTCATTAGATCATGTTCTTTCAAAGTGTGCATCAAGGAATACTTGTGTCAGAACCATGTGATGAGCTTGTTGAAAACGCCTCTTTCTAAGCTTCAATTTAGATCTGGTGGATCAGAATGTTGGGAATGAAGCTGGAAATCTGTATATTAAAAAATTGTCCAGCTTATTTCTAAACATACCACATCAATATAGCCAAATGCTTTTAATAAGAAATCTTATAATAGGATTACAATATATATTCATTATACATATAATTTATTTGTAGAATTAGTAAAATTGATCAAAATAAGTTATTTGTATTTGTCATATGTATCATCATGTAATGAAAAATCATAGTCCCTTGCAAAATTACATACATGTGTTTTGTAATGATTAAAGTTAGGTTATGATTTCACCTGCTGAATTCTTTTACTAGGTTTAGAAATATGATCAGTAGAAAAACATCAGGAGAATATATTTAGAAAAAAGAATAGTAATGTGTGTGTGATTGTGTGCATGGGGTTTTTAGTATATTCACCCCTCTCCTGTGACTTCATCTTCACAAAAATTTCAGAAACATTTCTAAATAATAGATTATAGGATCTTGGAGAGCAAAGGGAGTGCCTCTTTCTATCTCTAAAATATCCTAGTGTGATGAAATATCCTGAATTCCCTTTAAACATTAAAAATGATAAGCAAGCTTTTCTAAACAGTGTTATTCCACACCATTGTTACCAGATCTTAAAATGATCATCTATAATCAAGGAAGAAGAAAAAGAACTCTAATATCAAACTTTGCTTTTTATATTGTGATTGAGACTCATTTCTCTTTAATTGTTAAGCCCCCTCATTGGGGTATAGTTATCAGTATAAATACCTTAGAGGGCCACCCTGGTGGCACAAGGGGTTAAGACAAAATCTATGACGCTGTCTGCAGCCTCTGCAGCATGAGTTCAATGCCCTGGCCAGCCAAGGAGCAACCCACATGGCGCAGAAGACCTCTCCTGTCTCACCTGCTGCTCCCCTAAGCAGTGTACTTTACACTTAATCTGCCTGTTCTGTTCCCCACTCTGCCTCTGTCCCCCACACCTCTGGCCAGTACCCCAGTTCTTGTATGCATTAATAAATATTTTTTTAAAAAAATAGTTTTAAAAATACCTTAGAATAGGAGTAATCTATAGTTTCAAGGTCAGTTTTTTTATTGCATATTTTTTAATTTAGTTAATACATTGGTTCACAATACTATATGTGATTTAGGGGTATAGGGCCACACCTCTTCAGATGTGACTATTTTTTTTTAATTTTTATTTGTATATTCCCCATACAATTGCAACCCCAATTTCGACCCCAATACCTCCTCCCCCACCAAGAGTGTCTCTGGTTCATAGTTGTTTGTTGATTTATTCTACCCCACCACCTAAACATCTCAAATCCCTTATCAAAACCTACTGAGCCCCTGTCTTTGCTCCTCACTTCACACTCAGCCCTGGTAGCCTCAATTCTACAGTCAGATTTCAAGGGTCTTTTTTTTCTTTATATTCCACATGTGAGTGAAATCATCTGTCATTGGTCTTTCCCTCTTGAATATTTACTTAGCATAATCCCTTCCAGTTGTATCATGTTGTTGCAAATGACAGTAATTCATTTTTTTAATAGCTGATATTATTCCATTGTGTGTGTATATATATATATATATATATATATATATATATATACATACACATATCTTTATCCACTCATCTGTCATGAGCACTTAGGTTGTTTCCCTCACTTTGCTATTATGAACAAATCTGTATATTTTTCCCTTCTTTGGGTAGATACCCCAAGATCAGTTTAACCAAGTAAATTTGAACAATGACATCAGATTATGATCTTTTCCTATAATAAAGCATTTTCCACAATCAACCTTCCTTTCTATCAGCATAACAATTGCAGCCCATAAGAAGCAGTGACCCCATTATTAGAAGTAGGAAATAATTAAACCTTTCTTCAAAATTTGAAGACATTTGCCCATATATGTATCATGCATTCTCAGCAAATAGCCTATTAAAGGAAGATGAAATTTTAGGCAATTTTATTTACTATCATTTTTCTCTCTCTCCCACTCACTCTCTCTCTCCCCACTCCATCCCTTCTACCCTTCCACTACCTTGATTGGGGTTTTATCTCTTTTTACTAATATTTCCGTAATGATCTCCAGTCTTTCAACTTGTCTTTTCTCTATGTTGCTGCTATGTGTCCCGCACTATTTAAAAACTGTGTGTGTGTTTACTTGAAGTCCATAGCAAAAAGTTCCAGCTTCTTAATATAGATTAGAAGATAATGAATAATCTGATCCATCCCCAACTCCATAGCCACACTCTTCTATCCTTCACAACTTACCAGCCACACTGCTCACATGCATACAAAAATATACTGTGTCCTGGCTGGTCAAACCAAGCTTTCTGCTTGAACTTTACTTTTTCTTTTCTCCATGCTATGTTTCATGTCTTTTTCTGCCTGGAAAACTCTATCTTCTCTCATCTATTTGGTGAATGTGACCTGTCATTTGCCATTAAATGAGAACCGCTTGAAAACTTGTCCTTAAGCAGGATGAATTAGGTGCTGAAGGTAATCCTTTAGGGCAGTGCTTACTCCTACATAGCATTTATCACATTATATTAAAAGACTTGGCAGCCCTGTCTTTCCTTTACTTGATTGTGGGTTTTACAAAGGTAGGGAATGAATGCTATTGTGTTGGGGGTCTCCAGTGTTTAGCATAATGCCTCCCAAATAATAAACTCAGTGAAAGCTTACTGCATCAGTGAACTTGAAAGTGTTTGATACTTAGGGGAAGGGGGGAGAAGCCATGATGACACAGCTGGATTTGCAAAGGCAGTGTCCTTTACTTCTCCCCAAAGCAATTTAGGTAGCATGATAAATGTTTCCTGGAGCTTGTGGGAGTAACTAGTCTCACATTTATAGTGACTGTCAGATCAAGGCTGTTGAGTCACACACAGATTTGCGATCTACCTCTTTCAAACCTCTCTGTCCTATTTAAACAGTATAAGAGATCCTGTACAGTGTGTCCCTTTGCTTAAGATAATTATGAATGCATCAGAGTAATAAATATCATGTGATTAATTTGTTGACCTTACATTTCTGATATTTTTTTCCTATGCAATACTAGCCTGTGATGCTGTAATTATTATAAGACGGTAAAAGATTCTATGATGAAATATATTTGAGTAGTTTTATGAGTTAAACACTATTAAAAATGTCAGTCACGTGCCACATAACCATGTTCATGTCAACAACAGACTGCATATATAGGAGGGAGGTCTCAGAGTGTGTATTACCTACTACAGTGTAGCCCATATAACACAGCATTTCATAGCAGTAGCCTCATATAGCTCATGTTTACTGCATCTCTTGAAAGCGTAATTTTCCCTTGAGCTTGATTTAATCTCCTGTTGTTTTGTTCATCATGGTCACTAAGTGTGCAAAAACCTCTGCCAACATTGCCAGTCAGCGTTTACATAGAGTGATTGACCTGGAAGCAAAATTTAAAATGATGAAGCACTACAAAAATGAAACATCAACCATGGCTGCTGCCTACCAGTCAGGCATGTCCCATACCACCACAGCTATGCCCTTGAAAAATAAGAACAAGGAGTCAGAAACTGTGAAGGATCTGCTTCACTGAAGCAAGGACACTAACAAAAACTTGAGACGAGCCTATATCTGATATAGAGAAACTTCGAATGCCTTGGATTGAAGACCAGTCACAGAAGTTTAGTTCCCTCAGTTACAGAAAAATTGATACCAAATCAAAAAGTGCGTGTAATTTTGAAAGAAAAGACTGGACCCCATGAAGAGGTTGAATTTACTGATAGCCCTGGGTGGTTTCAACCATTAAAGAATCATCATTCGTTATATAATATGAAAGGCTGTACAATTAAGTCCCCCACCAAGGCATTTCTTGAAACATATCCCTATTCTTTAGCAACCCATGGCTGCACTTTATAATATGATAGGATATAATAAATCTATATGCCACTTCCAAATAAGATCTCTTCAAAGGTTGAAATGTGAAATATGGTCTATCTTTCATGAAAACAATTTTAAAAATATACAATTTCATGCTTGAGATGATCACACACAATTCTCAATCCAAGAGTCGCTAATTCTCTTTGAGATCTTCAATAACAAGAGAACGTACTTCAGAATTTTTAATTTCTAATTGTCAAAGTAATAAAGAACTTAGTGAGTTTTTTTTTCCCATCATGGATCAACAAAATTATGAAAATGAATGTAATTTTAATCTGAAGACTTTTATCCAAGTGAAGTCTGAAGTGGTAAGGAAGCTCTACAGTGGTCTCCCTGCAGCCAGCTAGAGGCCACACAGGTCACAAATGAACATATGAGTCAGGTATGTGTGAGATTGGGGACAGGGGCCCACAGGGCATCTGGGAACCTCCCTGGGCTTTCCACACTGGCATCTGGGCTGTCCACACTGGCAGCTTCATCTGCTCTGGGGCTCTTGCTGCTGTGTTTTTGCATATGGGACCAGGAGCCTCCTGCTAGCAGGAAATAGTGGTTAGATTTCCTGGGGACATTGTAAGACAGAATAAAGGAATTATAATGTCTTGGAGAATAAACTAATTTAACTGCTTGGTTTTACTGAAAACACACCATTTCAGCCCTTTGTGCTTTTTCACATTTGGTATGTGTTCAATTCCTTGATAATTCTGCAAGTCATTCTGAATGATATACAGATTTCAAAATTATGCATCTTCTGTATAGTTAGTGAACTTTGTTACACTTTGCCTTTAGTATAATATTATTATTTAAAGGTTATATGAAAATATAGACCTAACAAAAATGATAGCTTTATATACTGATTAATATCTTTAATTGAATATGGTATCTTTTTGAATTTGGAGAATTTTTCAACTTGGGAAAATCTCACTCATCTTTCTATGTTCAGATGAATGTCCTGCCTACCTGA